CTAGTGGTTTACTGGAGATAAGAGTCTCACGGACTTTCCTGCCAGGGCTGGCATTGAACCTCGATCCTCAGATCTCAGCCTCCTGAGTAGCTAGGATTACAGGCGTGAGCCACCGGCGCCCAGCGTAAGGGGTTATATCTTAAGTGCTGGCAAGTATGTAATTATACTATAACCAGCTAATTGGCAAAAGTCTACACAATTGAAAACATAGGTTATTAACAGATCCGTTACAAATTACTATTTAAAAGCAGCAAATACCTGCAGCTATACCTGCCTATTACTGAGGTATTTATATGGCAACAAATATTTATCCATCTTCATCTTAAAAAATTAGGAAAATACCATGATTCTTCATACATACTTACTTCTTTGAAGCTTTGAATTACCTTATTTACTTATTTGATACCAGAGATTTGAACTCAGGGCCTTATGTTTGCTAGACCCACACCTCCATCCCTGTAGTACTTCAATTAGTTTCACGTGCTGTAATAAAAATTCCAGGAATGAAGAATTGAGCCTATCATTTTTAATTCTCTGCTAGTACAAATCTGTCCATAAATCAAAATGAAAAGAACATTTGGAACAGGGGAAAAAAAATTAATCTTTTTAAATTTCTGAATCAGGTTCTTGTTACGATGCCAGGCTGGCCTTGAACGTGTAGGCTCAAGCAACTTAAGTAACCAAAACTACAGACCTATGCAAAATCTTAAGAATACCATTCTAACTCCAGGGTTTAAAATTAAATAATGATAATCCTCAAAACATAAAAACAAAACCAAAAACCTAGTACTTATGTTTCCATAAGCAACCAGAATGTAGCCCATTTTGTCCTTCATAGTACCTAACTGTATAGTATGGAACCTTATAGTATAATCCCTTATATATATTAAGTTTTCAAAAACTCTTAATGTTAACAAACTAAAAATATATTCAACTCATGGTAGTATCAAGAAGTATTCAATGTTATGTGTTCTTCACTAAAGAAAGTAAAAAGAAGTCCTCTTGTTTTAAAAGTATTAGGAGTCCCTTTTTCATCTTCCATGGAAAGCCTTCTTCTCTGACAGTTACCCCCCCCCCTTTTTTTTTTGGCCAATCTTGGGGTTTGAATTCAGGGCCTGGGCACTGTCCCTGAACTTCTTTTGCTCAAGGCTAGCACTCTACCAGTTGAGCCACAGCACCACTTCTGGCTTTTTTTATTATGTAGTACTGAAAAATCAAACCCAGGGATGGTAGGCAAGCACTCTACCACTAAGCCACATTCCCAGTCCAACAGTTCCCATTTCTATCCCTGTAGTTTAATTTAACTGGCTCTGTTTGTCTCTGTGCCTCCCTCCGCCCCCATTAACTATATATAAAATTAGTGTTTTGGTTTTTTTTTTTTTAGTTTTCTTTTGGCCAGTCCTGGGGATTGAACTCAGGACCTTGGGCACTGTCCCTGTGCTCTTTTTGCTCAAGGCTAGCTCCTAAGCCACATAGCCAATTCCAGCTTTTTCTATGTATGTGGTACTGAGGAATCAAACCCAGGGCTTCATGCATATTAGGTAATCACTCTATCACTAAGCCACATGCCCAGCCCAAAATTAGTTTTATAGATATGGCTTATTAACACAAGCTAGAATACCAATGGCTCAAAGTTAGTCTATTGATATGACACATTAACCCAAATCAGTAATTCCCCTTTCAACAAAAGCTAAAAACCTGAACTGGGAAAGACTGAAATATTATCCAGACATGTTCACATTGTGACATGTTAGGCATTGTTATACACTTTACATTCATTGTCTCAATAAATTCTCCCAACAATTATATATTCAATTACTACTTTTTACAGATGAGGTTAAAACAGAGATTTAGAGAATCCATGTAAATTCACTAAGGCAGATTATTGCTGGGATTAAAACCAAACTTGTTTTCACTCAACTCTTTCCAACATCATTCTTCAATTAACCAAATATAAATTTTCTAGAAAGTTTTTTTTTTTGGTCGGTTGCGGGACTTGACCTGTATGCTGTCCCTCAGCTCTTCAGCTCAAGGCTAGCACTCTACCACTTGAACCACAGCACTACTTCTGGTTTTCTAGTGGTTTATTGGAGATGAGAGTCTCCCAGTTTCCTTCTTGGCTGGCTTTGAGGCACGATCCTCAGATCTCAGCCTCCTGAGTAGCTAGGATTACAGGCATGAGCCACTGGCACTCGGCTTAGAAGGTTCTTAAGTAAGGCAGACCTGGCTGATCTAAGGAGCTTATATAGGGCAGATTCGTTGGTTTTTCAATATTCTGGTTTCTTGAACTTCTCAGAACTTACTGATGACTGAAAAGAATTTTTTAAATTCATGTAGCATGTAGCTTTCCAAATTTAACATATTAGACATTAAAACATATTTTAAATATTTACATTTCAAAATAAATGTTACATGTTAACGTAAATAACACTGAAAAATTACCAATGCCCCCAAAATATAAGGTAAAGTAATACTCTTGTACATATTTCTAAATCCTTTTTGTCTAGTTTAGGAGACAGATTCTCAAAAGTCTAAACGACTTTGAAAATGGACCACTGGGATGGTGGTTCAAGACTAGCAAGGAAAAAAGGGAAGTTTGGGAGACTGCATCTCAACCAGCAGCTGAGTGGGTGGTGTGCACCTGTTATTTTCAGCCCTCCTGGAAGCACAAGTAGGACCACCAAAGACCTGGCAAGATAATAGCGGTCCTAGCTGGAATAAAGGGGTTCTAGGGTTAGCTCAAGTGGTAGAGTTGCCTGCCTGGCAAGCACCCTGAGTTCAATCCCCCAAATCTCTCTCACACACACACTACAGAGTTATCAATAGTTTTTACAACTTCATTAAGAACATAAATAAGCACAGCAGAGTCTAGTGCCACTGCCTTGTTTTGTAGGAACGAACCGCCAGCAGTTTTTCACTCCTGTAGCATTACTTTTGGACAATCAGTGAAGGTGTAAGAAAAAAGAGTGCTTTAGTTATTTTTTGAACAGTTATGACCTCAAGGCTCTCCTGAAAGCGAAGTTGGGGGATCCCCAACAGCTGAACACATGTTTTCAAACTGCTGTCCTAGCGATTACACTACTGGTTTAAGACAGGACAGGAAAAAGCAGGATGCCAGTTGCTCACACCTGTAATCCGGGCTACTCCGGAGGCTGAGATGTGAGGATCACCGTTTGAACCTAGAACCGACAGTAAAGTCCATGAGACTGTTATCTCCACTTACACACACACAGGCTAGAGTGGAGCTGTGCTGACTATCCTTGCGGGGAAAAAACTCAGAGACAGGGCCCAGGCCCTGAGTTCAAGCTCCAGTACTGGTTCAAGAAAAAAGGAAAAAGGAAAGGAAAAAGAAAAAAGATAGGAGGCAATTTCAATATCCTGTTCACCGTTAAGATACCACTCTGCTAATTCCTTCAGTTTGAGAAACACCACCCACATAAAGCAAGGGGATCGGGAGCACAGACTGCCTGCCCACCCGTGTCTTAGCATTACTTTGAGTATCTTTATGTAAGGCCAATAAAACTGGTTGTTTTATCAGTTAGCTGAAGGACTATTAAAAAACGTTGAAATGACGCTGTCCCTTCTTCAAAGTGCAGCTTTCACAATCCAAGGAACTTCTGATGCCCTCTGAGAGTTTATGGTAAATAAGTAGTTCTCAGCCCAAACTCCCAAACCAGAATCGGGGTCTCTACATTCATTATTGTTCACCAGGCAGAAGCCTTCCCCGTTTCCCTGTCATCCAGTTGGGAAAATTCCTTTGAAAACAAAACTATTTGTGTGGAGTTTTGTACTGGGGGGGGGGGGGGGGGAGCGGGGCTACCTCTTCTAACCGTTCTGATTTCCTTCAGTAATGACCAATGGTACCTGATCGTTGGATCGGATGACTTAACCAGACCTTCAATTCTCCCTTTAAGGTGTCTAAGGCAAGTGGAGTTGAGAAACGTGCGGTGAGTTACGAACAGTTTGCGGGAACTTCACAGCCCGCGAAGGCGCTGGGGGGGGGACCAGGACCACACGCGCCAAGAGGAGAAAGCAGGTGGTTCCGCTGACATTATTCCAGTGCAGTAGGTTCTTTAGGAATCTTAACTGGAAAATAGTCCTTTGGATAAACATGGCGCCCACAGCGGCAGGACATAATCACCAGAAGAAGAGGGGGGTGGGGGAGAAAAACGATCTCATTTTATAAATCACGGCGCCGGCCCTGCATAAATTTGGGGGGCCAAAGGGAGGAGACGCCGCGAAGCCGCCGGCGCGCGCCGGGGCTCGGGAAGCCCGGGAAGACGGAGCCGGGCTTACATAACACAAGGGACGGCGAGGGATCGCTCCTTCCCCGACTCCCGCTCAAACCCGGCGCCCACACCTCCGCGGGCGGGGCGGCGGGAACTCCCACGCGGGGCGGCCGCCGCCGCCGCCGGGGCCCGCACTCCGCCCCGCCCGCGCCCGGCGCGGGCCTCGCCCCCCCCCCCCCCCCGCCCCGCCGCCGCCGCCGCCGCCGCCGCCGCGTCTCGCCGGGGCCGCCCGCGCCCCCGCCCCTTCCCCAGCGGGGCCGCCGACGCCCGCGCCGCCCACTCCTCCGAGACGCCTCGCACCCGGGCGTGCGTGTGGACGTCGGGCGGTGTGCGGGACCGTGGGGCGCGAGGACGCGCGCGCGTGCGCGGGCGCCGCGGCGGCGGCGGCGGCGGGCGCCGGGGGGCGGGGGGTGGCCGGTCCGCCGGCAGGCCAGGGGCCTCCGCCCGCCGGCCCCATCGAGCGGCTCCCGCGGCCCGCACAGCGTTCACACGCACACGCTCGCGCGCCGCGCCCCACGGCCGCCGCGGCCCGCCGCCGCCAGCAGCGGAGGGCGGACGGGCGGGCGCGCGCCCCCACCCCCACTCCCGCGCGCGCGCCCGCCCCATCCCCCCCCCCCATTGTCTCGCTTCGGAAAACCTCGCCGGGCGAAAAGATAACGGAACCCCCGGGAGCAGGGGGTGGGGAGCGCCAAGGCTCGCTCGCTCACTCACCTCCCGTGGTCGTCGCCGCCGGTAGTCTGACCCGAGGAAGGCGCCGTCGCCTTAAAGGGACCTTGCACCCGGCGCCGGGAGGAGGGGGCTGGAGAAGGGGAGGGGACGGGGGCTTGAGAAGGGGGGAGACGGAGAAGAGGGAACCGTTGAAAGCTCTTCTCCCCGAGGGTGAAAGGAAGCCTCCCTCGGGTTCGAGTGATTTGGAGTGGATTTTTTTTCCCGAGGGGGGCGGGGGGGCCCCGAGGGAGGGGGGTGGGGGGGCCTCGGAATGCGGCTCCGTGTACGGGAGATGGCGCGGGGGAGAGAGACGCCGACTCCCCCCACCGACCCTCTCGCCCCGCGGAGGGATACGACTCGTCACTTCCGCCCTCCCCCTCTCCTAGCCTTTCCATTGGCTGGAGAATGTGGCACGTCATGGGCTCATCCTAACCCCTTGCCTGGGCTTCTTTTTTAGCCAAGTTTGTCTGGGCTTGCAAATAAATAAATAAATAAAAACATTTTTTTTTTTTTTTAAATAAGAAAATAAAATTAGCTTTAGGAGCAAATATGTGGATGATGGTGAGAAACATGGGAACTTCCAAAGGAAAGATATTTTACAATTAGCTTCATGAAACTTTGCTGGGGAATTTGGGGAGTCTTCCCACCTTCCAGTCAAGGCTTCTACCCAATGGAGAGAGACTCCATGCCATATGCAAAATGGTGAGGCCCAGTGGCACCAACAATTATCACTGCAACAAAGAACAAAATAGCACTTATTTTCTTCCCCCAGACACTCTTGTCTCATCCAGTGGCCTTGTGGCAGTGGCCTGGATTAAGTGATGAACTTTTAAAGACCATTTTTTTTTTACCCTCAAGCCCTTCAGGATTCCGGAAGGAAGTTGCCCACTATTGTCTACCGAGACAAATCTTGTCATAGGGAGCTGCTTTGCAACCATTGTGTCAAAGATTCCTCAACCCAAGATACCACAGACTCCACATCCTTGTGTCATTTGCACCTGTTACGGCCTAGATGAATTGGTCCAAATAAATTGATCATTTCATTCAAGACCATTCATCAGTTTATTTTTCCCCCAATCATAAACTAACCTCTTCTTCAAGTAGCTAAAGAAGTTTTGTCCATTTTTTGCCTCCTAAGATGATAAAATGTTAACACTTTCCTTAGATATTTAAGAATGTTGGTCGTGATCTTTTCTCCCAAATGAAATTTGAAATTAAGATACTTGATGGAAAAATGAGATCCGAAGCCATATTTATTCCTTTGTATACATTCATCACTCTAACTGTTATGAAAATAAGCTTTCCAAATTATTAACACATGTATGTGTGTGCATGCAAACACATACAATACCCATTTTCATCCAATTTCATCCCCCAAAATGCTTATCCAATTAGTCATCCTCAGGATCTTCATGAGTTAGATTGGGAGAATAATCTTGCTGACAATATTTCTGAAGCTTTTCCTGAGCAAATCTGGGAAAGCCTACAGTGAGATTATGAAATGAATCACCAATAGATGACTTCTACAGAATCTCTAATTCTACTTTTTGCTGTCTAGCAGTAACTATGATGTGTGTGCGTCAGTGCAGGGGCTTGATATCAGAGTCTGGGCACTGTCCAGTTATTTCACTCAAAGCTGCAAGGTACCACTTCATCCCCAACTCTACTTCCAGCTTTTCTTGGTTATTTGGAGATACAAAACTCTCAGACACTGGCTGGGAAGGTGGCTCAGTGGTAGAGTGCTTGCTTTGCATGCATGAGGCCCAGGGTTCCGATTCCTCAGCAACACATAAGCAGAAAAGGCCAGAGGTGGAGCTGTGGCTCAGGTGGTAGAGCACTAGCTTTGAGCTGAAGAGCTGTGGGACAGTTCAGGCTCCATGACCAACAACAATAACAAAAAAAGACTCTCAGACAAGGATGTGGCTTAGCAGTAGAGTGCTTGCCTAGTGTGCATGAAGCCCTGGGTTCAATTCCTCAGTATCACATAAACAGAAAAAGCGCTGTGGCTTAAGTGGTAGAGCACTTAGAGTACTAGCCTTGAGCACAGAGAGGCTCAAGGACAATGCCCAATCCCTGAGTTCAAGCTTCAGGACCGAGAGGGAGAGGGAAGGGAATCAACAAAACTCATGTTCTTTTCCTGCCCAGGTTGGCCTTGTCCTGTGGTCCTTAGATCTCAGCCTCCTTTTGTTGTTGTTGTTGTTGCCAGTCCTGGGGCTTGAACTCAGGGCCTGGGCACTGTCCCTAGCTGCTTTTGCTCAAGGCTAGCACTCTACCCCTTGAGCCACAGTGCCACTTCCAGCTTTTTCTGTTTATGTGGTACTGAGGAATTGAACCCAGGGTTTTATGCATGCTAGGCAAGCACTCTACCACTAAGCCACATTCCTAGCCAGATCTCAGCCTCTTGAGTAGCTAGGGTTACAAACATGAACCACTGGCACCTGGTTTATAATTTACATATATGTATTACATATCTTATATTATTTACTTCTGAAATAGTCCAATATATTTTCCCATGCTCTATGTGCCAATTTATGCTCTCAGCTAGTGAAGTCTAGCTCAGTAGACTATGCCATATCCCATTAAATAAAAAACATTAGCAAATTGAAAATGCACCATGCAGCCATTAGGTGATCAACAAATATCAATGAGAATTTGTCACATGGCAGGCACTTTTCTAGGTGCTGGGACTACAGTAATTGAGCAATTCCTCTAGAAGCAATTCCTCTCGATGGCAAGAGGAATCAAACATGCATGTCAAGTGTTCCATGACTTAGTATTCTTTTTCTTGTTTGTTTGTTTTTTATTGTTGTTGTCAGTTTTTTGTTTTGTTTTGACAGTCCTGGAGCTTGAACTCAGGGCCTGGGCACTGTTCCTGAGCTTCTTTTGCTCAAGGCTAGCACTCTACCTCTTGAGCCATACATAACGCCATTCCCAGCTTTTTCTGTTTATGTGGCACTGAGGAATTGAACCCAGGGCTTTATGCATGCTAAGCAAGCACTTTACCCCTAAGCCACATTCCCAGCCTTTTTTTGTTTTTGTATGTTTGTTTTGCAAAGTTCTGGAGCTTGAACTTTTGGCCTTGTACTCTCTTCCTTGGCTATCTTGATCATGGCTGTTGCTCTACCCCTTGAGCTATACCTCCAGTCCAAGGTTTTTCTGATTAGTTGAGATGAAGTCTCTCAAGCCTTTTGACTGGTCTGGCTTTGAGCCTTCATCCTCCAGGTCTCAGCCTCCTGAGTGTCTAAGATTACAAGAGTGAGCCACTGGTGCCTAGTTTATTATTTACTATTAAATAACGGTCCCCAAACTTAGTGGCATAAATTAACATTTTTTTATGATATTAGGGAGTCAAATGAGGGCTTCATGCTCTACTGCTTGAACCATGCCCCCATTCCTTTTGCATTTAGTTTTTCAGAAAGGATCTCAGATTGTGATCTCCCTAACTGTCTGTCTGTCCAGTGGCTAGGATTGCAGGAATGTAACCATATCCAGCACCCCCCTCGATTTCTGTCATTTTTCTGGTTTTTGGAGAGTGTCTCACTATACACCTAGAACTAACTTAGAACAATATAATGTGATGCTGTAATAAATACTATGGAATAGGTTAGAACAGTGTTACAACTGTAGTTCAGGGTCTCATCATTAGGGCAATATTTGGGCAAAAAATTAGAGAAAGTAAAACAAAGTTTAGTTAACTAAGTTAATTAACTTGGAACTAACTTGGAATCCTTTTGCCTCAGCCTCCCAAGTGATAGGATAATAGGAGTGTGCCACCCTACTTGTCTGAATAATTTATTATCTCTCAAGATTCTGGGAGGTGATTAGGCTAACCTAAATAGTTCTTACTTATCTCACATACAATGGCTGGTGCTGAAACCATATCAAAATCTTCCTTATATGTCTGGAAGTTGATATTCACTGTTGGATTGGACAACACATGGGTTGTTGGTCTGAACATTTATAAATGTCCCAGTATTCAGCTGATCTTAGTGGCTGAATTCTAAGATTGAGTGCCCCAAGAGAACCAGGAATACATTTATGGGTTTTTGTACCTAGCCTCAAAGGTTAATACCTTCGCTTTACCACAGGTATAGGCCTACTCTAGTTCAAAAGCCTAGGAAACAAAGATCACACAGACACAGACACAGATAGACAGACAGACAGACAGACACACACACACACACACACACACACACACACACTTACTCACTTTTCCAAGGAAGGCTGAATAGTAGTTGCACATGCCTGTAATCCTAGCTACTTAGGAAGCTGAAATTTTGGTATTGATTTTTGAAACCAGCCCAGACAGTCAAATCCAAGAGTCTCTTATCTTCAATTAACCAGCCAAAAGAAAGAAAGAAAGAAAGAAAGAAAGAAAGAAAGAAAGAAAGAAAGAAAGAAAGAAAGAAAGAAAGAAAGAAAGAAAGAAAGGAATGAAGGAAGGAAGGAAGGAAGGAAGGAAGGAAGGTTGGTTGTGTCTCAAGTGGTAGAGAGCCAGCCTTGAGTGAAAAAGCTAAGTAAGAGTGTCAGGCTCTGGGCTAGGGATGTGGCTTAGTGGTAGAGTGCTTGCCTAGCATATGTGAAGCCCTGGGTTCAATTCCTCGAACCACATAAGCAGAAAAAGCTGGAAGTGGCACTGTGACTCAAGGGGTAGAGTGCTAGCCTTGAGCAAAAGAAGCCTAGGGACAGTGCCCAAGCCCTGAGTTCAAACCCCAGGACTGGCAAAAAAAAAAAAAAAGTGTGAGGCCCTCAATTCAAGCCCCATACAGCAGATGCACACATACACACACACACACACACACACACACACACACACACACACACACACACACACACACACAAAGGGAGCAGCAGACATGTCACATTGTAAGAAAAGTATGTGGAGCAGGGAATCCATCTACACCCTAGAAAATGAAATCTGCCACATATTATAGACAGAAATATGTAATGTGATATCTACATTTTATTCCCAGTAAAAGGAAAGCCACTGGAGGATTTTAATGAGTGGAATAGTCCCCACACCCCTCCTCCTCCTCCTCCTTCTTCAGTAGTTGGGTTTGAACTCAGGAATCATCCTCCCAGCTCTCTATTGCACTGATTTTTTTTTTTTTTTTTTGCTTATATGGAGCTGAGGACTTGAA